CAGCAGAAAGTACGGACCTCACGCCTTGGGATCAGGCGCTGTGCGGCGCGGCCACCAGCACCGCAGGTCAGCACTGCCATCTCTGCCCAGCAGCACAGCCTCCCAGGTTGGGCTGGTGAAGGTGGCCCGCAGCCCGGGGGCGAGCAGGCTCTTGCGAGGCCATGTGTCACCCAGCCGCGGCTCTGAGCGGGGACAAAAGCCGGTGACCTCTTCAGCGGGCCACGCGGGGGACGCGGGAAGACGCCAGTTTCCACACCCGTTGAAGGGGTACGCGTGACCACGGAAACCCCGCGAACTCCCGGCTCAGAACCGGTTCCGGTTAAAGGAAAAGGGAAACCCGAGCCAGGCGAACGTGCTCCCCGCACGGAAAGGACCACGGGGGCGCAGCCAAGCCCGCCCCTTGCAGACCGAGCCCCAGGCCACGCTGCTCGGTTCTCCGCCGCCTCCGTGCTGTTTCCTCAGTCCGCGCTGTTGCTGCTGGGTTCCGGGGGATGGAGAGCCTGAGGCTGACCTGGGCGCTGTCGCCGTACGGTCCATCGGAGAAGGAGATCACGACGCTGTCCTCAGAGCTGTCGGTGTCCAGACCTTCAGCGATGGAGACTGCGATGCTGCCTTCGGTGCTGTCCCTGCCAGGTGCCTCGGTGACAGCTATTGAGACGCTGTCCTCCACGCTGTCGCTGTCCGGTCCATTGGAGATAGAAATTGCAGCCCTGTCCTCGCCGCCGAATCGGTGGGGGTGGAAGATCGCGGTACTCTCCTCCACACTGGAGCTGCAAGGTCTCTCTGGGATTGAGATCTCCACAGCAGATGGCGCAGAGGAGGCCGAGGAGAATCCCTCTGCCAAGGACTGAGGGAGCCTACTTTGTTCCCTGAGGGTTGGTCCTTTAAAGCAATACAAAGGTTTCCACATTAGGCAAGGCATTTTTAACATAAGAAAATACCCGGTCTAAATACAAGTGCCCTCCTTCCTCCTTTCTCTCTGCTCAATTTGAAAAGCCTGCACCGCGGTGCTGCTCTACACAGCTTTCTTTTCTTTTCTGAACTAATAAATGCCTTCAGTGGGAGAAATAAAGTAGCCTACTTACTGTATTTGGGAGAATTAAATGGCTGGTACTTAGCCAACGGTCTCATTTGCCCCACAATATCATTTTTGACGTCTGACATGTCCCACTTGGCCAGGAATGCCTGGAACCATGATCTTTCTGCTTCCTCCTGTGTGTATGACTCATAGGAAAAGGTGTAATGCAAGGCAGCTGGCGCAATGAGCATCTCCAACGAGACTAAGAAATCCTAGGACAGCAGCAAAAACAGCAGCCATCCTTGGCTTCAGTCTGTTTTTCTAAATTGCTATGTTTCATCAAGTGCTTTTCCAAAGTAATGAAGTTTCCAAAGCTGTTTCTTTTCTTTTCATAGTATATTCATTTTTCTTTCCCCCAAATTATTTTTCACTTCCTCATAAAGGAGCAAAATTCAAATCTATTTTGTATTATCTAAACCAAGTATTTTTTTTAGCAAACTAAGGTGTATTTTCAATCCACCACCCAGAGACTAAAGAAAAGAGCAGAAAGAGAAGTGGACTAGGAAGACCAAAATCCAGGTTCTGTTTCCGGTTCTGTGACAAATCGGTGTGGCCAGTTTCTCCAGGATCCATGCTTGCCCACCTGCAGCCCCACAGCCTGCATGCTGTCACGGTCAGTGGAGATGACAGGGAAAACATGCTCAAGGAATACTCCAGTTCTGCATTCAGACACAGCGCTGCTTAGCTGCAGTCCCAAGGACACCTCCTCCGGAGAATGCCAGTCCCATACA